ATCGACATCCAATAGACCTATCGTAGACGGAGTAGAATTCGTGTCTAATTCCGATTTCGCACGACGATATGCACCAACTTGTGCTATCAGCGTTGTACGATTCAGGGCGACAAACAACCTCTCGTCTAACCGATAGTGGTAACTTTTCGGAAGTTAATTTTGAGTTTTCTTGATCGACAGCGGTTTCGATCTTTACAACGTTATCGACGTTTAAACTTCACAACACCACCACGCAAAAGAAAACTGATGTCGGTAGGTACTAGGTAGACTGTTGGATAAAGTCAAAATTGATGCAACGTTCGTAAGATTACACCAGATTTCTATTATGTGGCTTCCATACTGCATGCAGCCACGCAGTCACACCCTTTTCTGTCTAAAACTCCTAGCGAGTCACTTTATCTCATATATTACTTAGCACGGATTACATCTGACTCGAAACAAATAGAGTACCGGAAGAAGTTTGCGGTACAAGTATCTGCGTATCGTAAATTAGTAATCGGCTATATGGACCGATTAGACACTAAGGCCAGCCATCATCATCATTGTTATTTTCAGGCTTCATCCTCAAATATTGCAGCTTTTAGCTCGATGTTAACTCCCGAAGACATCTTTCATTGATTCGTTTTCTACGCTAGCATGATTTTCCGATATAACTCCACGAGTGATGATGATATACAACCCTTCGGTATCTACTTGGTAGAATCGACGCCACTCATTCCCCACACTTAATTGATATTAGTCTCGTACGCGAACTCGCTATGGATACAAGCTAGACTACTCGAGTATAGCAAGCTCATGCCTTATGCGGCATCCTTCCGGAAGAATGGCATATTGTTCGCCCGTCAGCCCGTCTTGCGGGAGATAAGGTTTTCTATTGGTTTTCGAAAGGTCCCGAGCGGAAGGAAATTTGCTCAAGCACGCCAGCATATCCCCACTTGCCAAATTTTCTCAGTGGACCACAACTACCCAGTCGAGCTTGTAGGTCAATATTCCGTCAGGATCAGAACTACACTGCATCGAGGACTGCAGTGCATGCCACAATCTGCCGAAATGTTCCAGGATTGTGAAGTCCCCTCAGAGCTGTTGAGGTTCATTGTAATATGTTTCGTGTCGGAGACTAAAATAATCGCCCCCCTGTGGTTCATTGATACCATATCAAGCTAGTGAAACCGTGCCCTGCGACAAGATGCACCCCAAATTTTAAGTTTAGCGGGATGAACTGCAATGCACAGTCTTCTCATATCGAGGGCCTTTCCCACTATCCACTGCTAGTGTCTTGTATAGTGGTTCGGCATCAGCAAAATGTACTCTTGACTGACACTCAACTTACTCTTGTCAACAAAGATTATCCCGATTATCAATCTCTCGAGCTTTCTCTTCCTACATTGATCGACACTCTAGACAATGGAGAAGATGCAAGTTTGACAACATATGGTGAAAAGAAATTGCTATATGTAAAACCTATCCCGGTTCATGAACGTTGTTCATCGACGATATCCGAAGTCAACATGAGAGTCTTTGCTTGGTTATCCTTACTGTGCGCTGTGCTGCCAGTCAACATCGTTGCCGCATCATTGTCAATAACTGACGTTATTGAAGCTCTTCCTTCATGTGCTGTATGTTATGGATATTCTTGAAACTTCTAACATGAACTGACATCACGTTAGCTCACTTGTCTTACCACGGCTCTTGCAAACTCGACTTGCTCTCCTACCGATCAACAATGTATTTGTACGAATGTTCCTCTAAACACAGAAGTTAACATTTGTGTAATGGAGGAATGCACTATCAAAGAAGCACTTAGTAAGTTACAACCAGTTGCTATAACAATTCTATTTCTGATGACTTCTAGGTACCAAAAATGTTACGTCCGTCGCCTGCAATGCACCAGTCAGGGATAAGAGGGATTTATATAACTGGATATCCAACTCATTTGTCGTTGCTTCCTGGATAGCATACCTTTTGAGGATTGCTTCAAGATTCACCTCTGATACTCGACTCTGGTGGGATGACTATGTTGCAACTTTTGTTATGGTTAGTTTGGCATGATTGACTATGATAGAAGCATAGCTGATTCCATAATAGATTGTTGGTTTGCCACAAGCTATTATCAACGTTCGAGGCCGTGAGTTTTCCCGAGACCAAGACATATCATCACAAATACTTATTGAGAAATAGTTACCGGCAACGGACTGGGAAAAGATATCTGGACATTACCTTTCAACAACATCAGTGACATGATTCGTGTGAGTAGTGCTACGACTAGAACACACTTTACGATTTGAAACTGACCAATTGCAGTGGTTTTACGCAGCCGAAATCCTGTATTTTGCCCAAGTCAACTTCATCAAAATCTCGATCCTTTTCTTCTTCCTTCGTCTCTTCCCCGACCGCAAGATACGTTGGACAATCTGGGGTACAATCATCGCGAACCTCCTAATATTCATCATAATCGACTTACTAGCCGCCTTACAATGCCGTCCAATCAGTTTCTACTGGAAAAGATGGGATGGTGAACATTCTGGAAAGTGTCTGAATATCAATGCACTGGCATTTTCAAGTGCGGGTATCAGTATTGTAATGGATATCTGGATGTTGATACTTCCCTTGACACAACTTTACGATCTCAATTTGCATTGGAAAAAGAAGATTGGTGTAGCTGCTATGTTGAGTATTGGTATTATGTAAGTATAAACTCTTTACTCATTGATATCGTGTAGCATCATGCTAACTATGTCTAGTGTGACGGTCGTCAGTATCCTTCGTTTGCAATCCCTCATCGTCTTTGCAAATACCCAAAATCCAACATGTAATCCTCCCTGCTTCCCCTGTCTCAAACTTCAAAGCTAATCCATCCACCAAGGGGACTACGTCCAACTAGGCTATTGGTGCACAATCGAGATCTGCACCGGAATCATCTGTTCCAGCATGCCCGCCATCCGACTCCTCCTCGTCCGCATCTTCCCCCGCATCGCAGACACCACGCACAATTCTTCCAACCACTCCAAATCGCTCGGCTACGATCCCAGCCGCCGACGCTCCAGCGTTCCCAAACTCGCTTCAAAAAACTCCTTCATAAACGGGAGACGCGGCTCGTACGCGACGAACCAGGGCATCACAATGAAGAAAACATTCGATGTGAGTTCAAGCCATAGGGGCATGGGATTCGACAAAGAAATCGAAGAGGAAGACGGCACGGAACTGGTCAGCAGACAGGCAACCAGGAGTGAAGCGGGAACGGGGGATGCGGAGCGCGGGCTAGAAAATGCACAGAGTTACGAGAGTAGGGATGATGGAGAACATCTGAGTCCGCCGCACGAGCAGAACTCGCGGTTGAGTAGCGCGAGGAGTATAAATGAGGGCATGTTAATGAGTCCTAGGAGCCCGGGTTGGGTTTAATGTATACCCATGTACTCTTTTATGTTTTTTTAATGACCAAATGAATGAATATGTAAAATTTAAATTTCATGAGTGGAGAGACGTAGTGTTCTGAAATATCGAAATGAATATGTGTAATTGTATGGGTATACGCAGTACTCATCGATCCTACCAGACATAGGATCAGCTCACCGGGAGGTGATGTGACAAGATTCCAGATTCGTCAGACCCGCACAATCCTGGCGAAGACAACAATAATCCCTCAAGACTTCTCGTCTCAAGTTACTTACTTGACTTACTATACCTACCCATCCACCTATCCACCTACTAATCAACTCTCTGATTTTCTCTTCCCCGGAACAGAATCCCATTTATATACCTTCCACCCTTCAGTTAACGATCTATAGGTACCTACCTACATAAAGTATCCCAAACTATCAATCCCAAAATCAAAAGTTACCAATTACAATATCCCCGCCAAATGTTTTCATTTCTTACCTACCTACCTACCTATCAAAACATTCAATTCTTTCTCAAAGAAATCCATCACACATTCATATTTTAAATTTCAAACCTCAAATCACTTAAACACAATATCACACATAGCATCACACATATCATCAAAAACCAAAAACAGATCAAACACAATACTCGAATCAAAATATGTGTTTCATATAATTTCTCTCATCTTCTCTTCCTCTCCCTTGCAATTCCCAGCCTTTCTCCCCTATCCCCATCCAGTCCATTCTCACCCACACCACGCCGCCCCGCGCCCCGCCCAGTCTACACATCTCCGGATCAAAAACAGTCCAAACATGCCACGCTCGCCTGCTCGCTTAACATTTGTATATACCCTTCAATCCACCAATTCAATCCGATGATATAAATCCTCAGTTTCGTACCAAAGAAATCCGAGTCATCAAGTCATAATGTTATTCCGGTTCCTTCTTTTTCCTGCTTTCTTTTCCCTTCAAGGGAGCAAGTTCTCCTATAAACTCGTGCCTTCCACTTCCATTCATTTCTGCCACCCTCTAGTATAATCGAGATCTAAGACGCAGTCTTTGTGATGATCTCATACACACGGTGCAGACCCAAAGCCGTCGATCCTTCCTCCCTTCCTTCCTTTCCCGTGATCTTCCCATCCATTCATATCACCACACCCATCCAAATATATTCCCTTCCGATTGATTCCAATTCAATAACGAAGCTTAAAAGTATATATCAAAATAATGATAAGTAAACACAAAAAACGCATGCCCCGTTTAAGGGCCCGACCCAACAAACGACCAACAAATATATATAGACTGAACTCCCATCTCCAATCCCACCTTATCCTTTTAAATCCATATATAAACCTAGCCGCTAATGCCTATGCCCAATGACCCAAAAAGTCAAGAGAGTCGCCGTGTAAAAGTAGATGACTAAACAATTCCACTATACCATCGCAGTTCTGTCCCCAAATAAAAGTATACTAAAAAAGTGAATAAGAAAACAGTTAAAAAATGCTGTACATGTGTTTAGGTAATCTATACACTGTGCTACCCGAGTTAAATTTGTCAAGTCGTATTGCTCGATAGACGATTGTTATACCAATATAAGAAAGAGATTTTGGGTGACTTTGATTATACGGTTTCGAAGTCATCCTCAGATTCGTATACCGAGGGCGGTTCCAACGGACCGTACCTAGCTCTATATTGCTGTAATTCTCGCAGGTCAGCTGCAAGACCTTCCATAACGTCTGCCATTGGTGCACGTAATTGGTCGAGGTCGGAGATAGCTATTTGACCAAGCGCCAAATGACGCGTAGCGATTGCAGTAATGCAGGTCTATGATAGTTAGTAGGAATACTATAACAGCAAATTGTTGGGAAAATTACCTCGATCCTTGAGACTTGATGAGTTAAGAAGTTTAGCAAGAAGCGATCAGTCACCTCTCCGCCTCTGTTTTTCATCTTCTCAAGCATTGCTGTTTCAGGAGGTTGCAAGGGTTCTCCACGAGGTTCCTCCAGAGTTGAGCACAACATCTCTAATCTTAGACTGAGCTTCCAGATATCCCAAACATGGGCCGGATCAATGGTCAATTCCGAATCAGGAGCAAGAGTGGCAGGCTCCTCCGTAATGACGGCCGCCTCCCCTTCCAGGGATCTTTGGGAGTGAATTCGGCCAGCAAGTGAATGTGGATACATGAGGTAGATGTACTCGGGATTTTCTAATCCTTTGAGCTTTCTTTCTCCCATGTCTTTGACCTCAAACCCTTGACTGCTTAGGGAGCGGAGCTCACGACGAATTGATTGACTGATAAGATCGCTGTCGAAAGCATCTTCTGAGCCGGTAGACCCAGAGCGGTCGCTTTCACTGTATGTCTCTAGGCATCGTTGAATCTCAGAGATAAAATCAGCTGATACAGTGATTTGACCACCATCGGCAACGGCAGAAATACGAGCTGCTCGATTGACCATAGGACCGAAATAGTCCATACGTCTCGTTACTGGATCATTCTCGCACACTGGTCGACCCCAATGAGCGCCCATCCTGACGCTCAGACCCTTGAAAATCAGATTTTGATTGCTGTCATAAACTTCATGCCCCATGTGACTCGTTATAACTTCGGCAGGCCAATTAACTTCAAGTAATGCTGCTTGGACAGCGAAACACCAAAGGAGAGCAGATGTCGCGGTAGGGAATGATACCATGAAAGCATCTCCTTCTGTCTTGACCTCGTAACCACCAATGATGCGCAATTGGCGGCGCATGACCTCATTATGGAGTCTGATTGCAGATCGCATGGCGTTGGGATATGTTTCCCAAAGTGCGGTAGAGCTCTTGATATCTGTGAAGACAATACCAATGTCGCCCACAGGCGCTTGAACTTCTTGTTTTAGTCTTCGGAGCGATGAATCTTCGATATCATTGATCTTCTTCTTAGGTCTCTTTGAAGGAACATAGCCCTCGTCCATCATCATATTTGGGTTAAAAGATAGACTTTGAACCCGGTGCGGTCGAATTTGAGCACGCTTCTTTAGATCACTGACACCCATCATCATGACCATAATCTTTCCAGAAGCGCCAAAGGCGATGGCAAGATCTCGAAGTCTTTGTGCAGCTCTCATGAGGTCATGCTTTTCATACCGGGCGATATCAACCACAAGTTCAGGGGATAAATACTCCCACAGCTCTCTTGAAGCAATTAGCACCATCTCGTCCTGCTCTTTGATAGTGACATGCGTCACATGAGGTGCAGCTTGAACGGCTGGCAGTAGATGGACATAGCCGAATGCACGGGAGACCTCGAGAACATCGTTCAACTTTCCTTGCTTGGAGACCCACCCACCTGCATCTCGGATGCGTTGTCTTTCGTTTGGCTCGGCAGGGTCATGCTTTCGGGTTAGAATTCGATGACCGTCCTTTTCATGAATGAGCATGGCTTGAGCATCTCCAACATTGGCGACGTAAAGCTCGGATTGTTGCAAGAACATGATAGTAGCTACACCACCAGAGGTAAGATCGTCTTGTGCGAGAACTGCGGGTGTAGTGGATCCCCTTTGCGAAAGCACTGCCCTCTCTTCGTTACTCTGAGCTGCAGCGGTAGCTAAGTCTTTGTTGAGTGACAAGAAAGCCCGTCTAAGCGCGTCTTTGGGGGTCTCATTATTGAGAGCGTTCAGTCTTTTCAATTCATCGCTAAAAATGTGACCGAAATTTTCATGGAGGTATTTTGCAATTCTCGAACCTCTATTCGACGATATCGCACCATCAAACATTCCCAAAAGGGTTTCTGTCTCAGTAGAATTAAAGCGAGGCACAACCATATCGATGATAGATAAGTGCGAATCGTTACCCAGACTGTCTGCCATTCCATAAGCCAGCTGTCCTGCAAGAGAGCCTGAAGTACGAACTCTTCGGTCTTCGGTCTGATCGGGAATAGATGGGATAGTTAAAGTTACATCCATAAGGCCCAATATTCGCAGAGATTGCAATGCGCTGAAATCCGTAAGATCACGCCCATCACGAGCACCCGCACTTCCCGGCAGCGAGGGCTTAATCTCTAGACGTTTATTTCCGGAAAGATTAAGATATTTCAAGTTCGTGTTCCAATTCCAGTTCCAATCGTAGGGCCAATTTGAGACATTGTACTTCAACGAATTACTACCACAATCTAAAACGGTCAAGCGATGCGCCTTTCCAAGTTCTGCAGGTAGGGTTTGGAATTTGTTGCCGTTGATGTGCAAGACTTGCAGGAGACTGAATTCTTCAAAATCATCTGAAGGGAGTGAAGTGAGCTCGTTTCCAGATAGGTAAAGCTCAACCAATTGCGGCCAGCTCTTGATGGATCTCGATGGTATATCATTGAGATCGTTGTAAGAAAGGTTTAGAACCCGCAGTTCGCTGAGAAGAGTGAGCTCATCGAAAACATCATCGTCAAGCCCATTATCAGCCAGGTGAAGATTTCTCAGTGATCCGGCGAATGTATTAACAAGTTTTGCGGACAATCCTGAATCCTTACGTATGTTTACCGGTGGTGGGTGATTAATTGTACTTGCAGAAGTACTTCTTGACACTACTGAAGTCTTGCGTCCTCCTTTACCGTAAACTGATACGACTGATCCTTTCCTGGCATCAGGAACTGGTGAGCTACCTACGCTGAGAAGCCCACTAGACGCCTGACTTGGCCTTCTATGTCCAAAGTCCAAAGGTCCGAGCTCTTCGAAGCTTGAGTTTTGCGAATTCGGGTTAAGATTATTGTTGGCAGAACCAACGTCGCCAGGTGGTTGAGGAGGTCTTGAACCTGGTTTTGGAAAGTTCTCCAAAACGTTGGAAGAAACATTGAGGAATTCTAACTTGTTTGCCCACCATATCTCCATGGGAAGTTTCTTGAGATTGTTTTGTCTTATATCAAGGTATCGAAGTTCTGTCAGGCACCCAAGCTCCGCTGGAAGACTACTCAACGAATTTCGGGCAATACTGAAATACTCCAATTTGCGCAATTTGCCAATCTGTGCCGGTAAAGACACAAAGTGATTTATGTCTAGTACGAGCTTATTAAGATTTGGCATCTTGTCGAAAGCAGCATCGGGGATTTGTGCCAGCTTTGCGTTCGAGAGATTGAGTGTTGTTAGGGTGGGAACGGAGTTTTTGATTTCGAATTTTGTTACAGGATTCGAATTCAATCGAAGGATTCTGATATTAGTGAATTCACATTCGCAGACGGAGACTGAATTGTGATCGGCGGAAATTTGTTCAACTTTGGGAAGGGTTGCAACGATATCGATGCTCGAAAGCAAGTTGTATCGAATATCGACTTCTTTAAGGTTCACAAGTTTTCCAAAACTTGTGGGAAGTGAACCTTTCAGACGATTGTTTGTGAAAACGAATCGTTCCAGAGCTGTAAGTTTGCCGATCTCGATTGGGAGTTCCGATATTCCGTTGAAACTCATATCCATATCAGTCAAGCTCACCATATTACAAAGAAATTCTGGGAATTCTTCTAAGAAATTCGATGAGAGATTCAAAGTCCTCATCGATCTGTAAATGCCAAAGTACGAAGGCAGGCTTTTCAGTCGGTTGTTAGCGAACTTTAAACTAACAAGTCCTTGCAGTCTCGAGAGCTCAGCGTGATCCAAATTTTCGATTCGATTGTTTGTGAGATCAAGCATTGTTACTCGACTGCCTCGAGTAAGACTGACTGGAAGCTTCCACGCTTCGTTGCTGCGAAATTTGATGTCTCTTAGGTTGACACACGACGAAATAAAGTCTTTGGGCACATCCAGTGACAAGTTTCGCGATAGATCGAGCGATATCATTTCTGAAGTCTTAGAATACAATGCGATCGGAATAGTAATGAGGTTCCTTCCTGACAAGTCGACATGGCTGTATTTCTGACTTTTGGGGGCAAGCCCATTGTCGTTGGAAACTGACGCATAACCTCCTTGCCTAGCCGGGAGGAAAGAGAATCTACAGAGGTAACTGTTATCCTCCCTTCCTACATCTTCGATTCGATCTCCAGGCTCATATCCCGCTTGTTCTAAAAGTCGTCTTTGTATAACGAGCGGCCGTTCTCCAGGAGCAAGGATTCTTTGCAAATCATGTTTCCTCATTACAATTTGATAGTTCTCCAGATTGTCAGCTTGGTAAGTCTTTTTGTTGAGCTGAGCCACCAGTTCCGTAACAGTAGTATTAAGCGCAGTCGACAATGTGGCGAAAGTTCCGTCTACTTTGAATATTCTTATGCAATAAGGGCTCGCTTTTTCGTCTGCCTTTTGAGGAATACCTGCTTCGTCAATCTCTGGAAGTCGCGACATATTTTCATCATCGACTTTCTTGACAGCCCAGCTGTCTGGCGCATTCCACCCTAGGCCGCCTGCACTTTCAGCATCTGCCGTACCCTCATCCTCGTGTCCATTTCCATTAAAAATGTTGTTGTCGAGTGGAGTTAGAGGTGGCGGCTTTGTTAAGATGCCTTCCATATTCGATAAATTGGTATCAAGGTGGTGAATATTATCCCCACCACGATCTGATGTATCGTATGTTTGGTCTGTATCCTCTGCGCGCCCCCGACCTTTTCGAAACGGTAGCTTGGGAAAGGTGCCTTGTCGTCCAGCCGGTGGGCGAGCACTGCCATTCATATACTGGGTTGTAAGGTTGAGCTCTGATCCAGTGATGCTTCCATCTTGGCTATATTTTGCGAGATCCGGCGATTCATATATCCTACCTGCATCTTGCCGCGAGGTTCCATTCATCGGTGCCCGACTAGGTGCTGGTGTTTCTTTCAAGCGAGACGGTGTGTGGTCTTTGTCCTTGTGCCTCTTGAATCTACCGGTCAGATTTAGAAGACTCCTTTTCGTACTATTATTGTTGTCTCTGGGTGAAGATGGAGCGTCGCCATTGCCGTTCTTGGTTGGTTGACTCCATGTACTCATGCCGCTCGGTGTTGGGCTCTTCGGTCGTTGAAGGTTAGGATTGGAAGCGTTGGCCGAAGCTGTGCCCATGGGATTATTCCGGTCCTTGAAGCGATTACCGAATGCAGATTCCTCTCTACTTACAGTCGGTCGCAAGGATCTAGTGTCATCATTGCTTCGATTACGTAGATGATGCCCAGGAAGATGATGAGATTTAGAAGACGATGAGGTTTTGGGTGGCTTATCCGAACTATCGTTTATGTAGCGTTCCCTATCGGGGCCGGAAAGGTTCTCTCGCACAGGAGCTTCTCCATACAGAGATATGTCCTATATATCCTCGTTAGCTTCATGTGCATGTTAAACACTTCAATGCATTGAAAAAGGGTCGTTATTGCCATATCATTCTCAGGAACGGATTGAGAGTCTGTAGAGAAATAAGAGCGAATTGACGAAGCGTATGATTTCATCTCAGAAGCATCGAGAGAAGAAGGAATCGTGTCGTGAAGTGAAAGGCATGAATTGAAGATTACTAGTGAAGATCGAATTTACTGACCTGGGAATTCTGATATAAAAATGGAACTACTTCGCTAGATGGTACGGGTGTTCTAGGTCGGGATCCACCTGCTGGGGATGCATCTCTATAATGTCCGTGGTCTGTGGCAGATGAATGATTTCTGTCTCGATGACTCCGCGCAAATGAATGCGATCGTGCCTCCTTTCCTTGCTGCGATGGAAGGCTCGTGTCGGAACTTGTAGGGTCCTCGCCAAAGAAACTTGTTAACTTTTTGTGAAGTCCACCTACCGCTCTACTGACACTGCCTTTTGATCCAGTGCTGCTTGCTGTCGTTATGCTCGCAACAGATGGTCTTCTCTCGTCGCCGTCGCCAAACAATGCATCTGCAGGTGAATCGCTCGCATTTGTATTTCCCGTTACTGCAGTCCCAGGCCTTGCAACCGGCGACAACTGTGAAGCTTGCGACAATGCATCGCTAGAATCATTATAGAAACTAGTGAAGCCATTTGGTGAACCGGTTGCGCTGCCGCCATTAGACATCCAAGGGGCAATTTGATTTGAAGAAGCTATCGCTGTTGGTGGATTATGATGAATTTGAGGAATGCGCCCACCAGAGGTTTCGAGGACTGCGAGATCACGTCGATAATTGCCGAAGTCGGCCATTCTTTGCTCCCGTGGGGATACATTAGGAGAAATAGATGAAGATGGAGATATTGTATTTCGAGGTCCGGCAGACGTCGGCGAAACTTGAGCATCAATTTCTACCCTACTGCCAGGTCAAATGCACGAAGCCGTTAGTTATGGAACAGGTTCAAAGCTTTGTTCCAGGGCTAATGAAGGGGATTTGGAATGTAAAGTACCCATGTGAGACAACTATCATAGACCCCGAAAAAGAAAGAAAATAACATGAATAAATAAACAATGATTTCTTTTTTTCTATAAACTATCAATTTTTCTGCTTACCTTGATCTATCCGTCTTCACCTGCATTGGAGCTCCTCTCTTCATTGATGAACCCTGGAAGTAGCCCGGGCCTTTTATCGTATCAGTAGATTTCCAACTTCCAGTGCTCGAGCTCGTAGCAGAGCTATTACGATATGAACCATCTTTTCTGGTCATATTTGACCAGGTATATAAGTTAAAAATTGTCCATTCGCGAAGAAATTATTAGAACGATGTTGTGGTGCAAAGTGGAGGGGAATATTTGTGTGCTTCTTTTTGGAGGGGTTATTGAGGGTTGAGGTGAGGTATAAGTGCGGGTGGTGTAAGTAGGTATGTATGGGTGGGTGTATGGTGTATGGGTGTAAATATAAGTCTGTGTGGTAACTGGGGAGATGGATGTGAGATCTTATTCTGGTGGATTATTTCTAACTAGTGTTTTCGTGAACGGAAACGTAAACGTGAACGAGCGAGAAGATTGAGGAAGAGATTGGAGAGGAGAGGAGGAGATCGATGTTATTAGATAGGTAGGTAGGAGGTTGGAACTTGGTTGTGGAAGTGGTGGTGGTGGTGGTGGTGGTGGTGGGATGAATGATGGATGATGGATGATGGATGATAGGATTTGCTCTTATGTTCGTTCGGTGTTCTAATAGCCAATATGTCATGGCGGATTTGTACAATCTAGAGTAGTAGCAGAGCATGGGGTCGAGGTGTTTAAACCTATTAGGTCGTTAACTTGAGGTACTTGGGTACTTTGCTTTGCCCGCAGCCCCACAGCTCTAGTTTTTTTTTCTCTTCGTAGGAAATGTACTTTGTTCATTGAAGCATGCTTTCCATGAGCAGGCAGGCAGGTAGTAGATGGGTAGACAGACAGCTACTACCATAGGTATATACCTAGTACTCCTCACAACACAAAATATGAAATCAACAACATACCAGCAATCATAGTATTGATGATAGCAGCAATTCAAACACAAAGCACAAACCAAGAAACAAGAAACATCAAACAAGAGCTGAATCAGGATTAGGATCAGATATATGTTGATGATATCAAAGACCCCTAGATGAAATGTGTAAATTGGGAATCCAGGTCGATTGAAATTAATTGTGCTGATTGATAAATACCCAGTAGTATGTTTGCTGTTTGTGTGCTTGTTAAAGACGATGATGATTACCTATTATTAGGATTGATTTTGGGTATTAAGATGAGGTTGAGTATTGAGATGGTTTCGAATATCGAGGTGATCTTGAGTCTTCAGATGGGTTTGATCATTGAGGTGGTTTTGCACATTGAAGTTCCTCCGGATTACAACAAAATATAGAACAAGTCGACGAGTATTGAATCAATCACTATTATAACAAATTTTCATAAGAATATTCCAGCATAATGTACGTCAAAATAAGCTAGATAGATAGGCGTCGAGAAATTTGCCCTGAGTAGTCGGGATGATACAAGTCATACAAAATGTATCTATTAATGCCTCCTTATTGATGGCCCTTTGCGTTGATATTGAGGGCGTGAACTGAACAGAACAGAACTCGAGTAAGAGAGCCAGCCTGCCTGCTGATACTATAATCTCGTTGAATATTTAGGTCGGAATAACTCACACAGTAGTATAAATGATTCTTTGTTATGTCCAGAGCTCAAGCTTGAGGCTAACTATTCTAGTGAGCTTCGACATTTTGGCCACTTGATCTATGTCCATTGTATCCTTTGTAAATCTACAACCAAACACATGGGAATCTTAAAAGCGGAATACGGTGCACGATTGAGAGGAATTTCGGGTCGATTTGATTGGCGCTTAATCGTCATCTTCTTTCCTTCAATCACATAGTAATTAAACCGTGCTGCATAAAATAAGCAAATCTGCAAATCTGATCACACTGCGCTTCTTCACATGAATCAATCCTTATTCATCAATCATCACAGCGCTTGTCAAAGCTATAAAAAAAAGTATATTATTGATTCAAAGGGATCTTAGGTAGGCAAATGGGTGCGGATGAAATTCTTGGCTTCACTTCAAATTTTGAAATTAGGGTAGATCGGGGCAGTTTGATGACGGGGAGGCAAACACACTTTCGGGAATCGGAAGAGTGATCCAGAGGCATTGGGGAGCGCTGGTGCTTCACGAGTAGGTGTCTGATTGTTTGTATTGCATCGCATCGCATCACATGGTTGGTGATATGCATAACTTGATCGGGAGTATCGTACTGTACATGAAGATCGATAGTCGTGTACAATCTAGATTCAGTAGCGGAGATCTCATCTAGACAGCTATCAAGAAAGCTGCACATAAGTAGAGTATAACTATTATTGTATCTCAACAAACAAACCTCTCTAGATTTCAGTGAGGCTATCCAACTTTCACTCAGTCTGGTATATTAGGAATCAATGTACCCATGTACCCATGCACCATGTACAAAGTCCCATCAACAGGCGAACAGATGAAGGGGCTCGGCTCGGGTATCAGAGCAGCTTGCGATAGCGGGCGCTGTAATTCCATCTCCCTTTCTTTGAAACGATCAATGACATCCCAAGTCGAATGATCTTAGACATTCAAGATCGAAATTCCGAGATATGTGAACCGACAATTATTTCAACCCTTTATCCAAACCCTACAAGAACAAAGAATGATTACTGAACATTGCGGGAGGTATGTTCCGGTCTCAAGTTACTAGAACTTGGCGTGTGTGTATTGGTGATAGCCTTGACAGATATCTGTGTTGTGATAGCAGTGGTCATTGTAGTCACCATCGCCGCGGTCGCATTGGATGATTCCAAGCTTATATATAGCCTGATACATACCACCAGCAGTTCTTTTGATAGTTAGACCTTACCTGTTTCATCGTAGGAAGAAAAATACTGCGCAGTATGGCCTTTCCATCTTGTTCTAAGCCGCTCTAACTTGAGTGATAAACATACGTAAGTCGACAAGTATTAGATCGAACATTGCGTATACGACAAAAAGACTGGAATCTTATTGAGGTGTTTCGTATGCTTCATCTTCGTACAACAACCATAATTAGAACAATCTCATCTCTCTACTCGTAAAGGGATATAAGATCTTTTGAGGCCGATTAATACCCGATCATTAGTAAGCAGAAGGCTATATATCACGTGATTGTAACAATCAAGTTTCATCAATGTAACTGAATGTAACTGCAGAGCGGGGCTAATCCTTGTCTATCCGATCATCGGCAAAAAGATACCCTATTGAATACTGATTTTATACGTATGCGGAAATCAAGCTTGAGCTTTAGGCTACCTAGTACATAATATAGAGATGTAAATAAATCCCTCCTCCAAAACTCTTCTAGACCACGAGATAGGTCTTGGGTCCCGAGTACAACTCCAAACTTACTTCCTCAACAACATAACTCGCAGAGATCGAGTTCGGTTTGAGGTGGATATTTTCCCCTCCTACACGCATGGAATCGTCGGTATGCTGCGATCATTTTCGCAAAATGCTACCAAGGTGACAAATTCGACATGTGCAGCTGGGCGTTTACAGCAATGCTCCAAGATACATATACCACCATGGAGACCTGCATCACCACTAGATGAGTATGAATATGAAGTTTCTATCTGAACTTTCGTACGTTTTTGCTGACCATGCCAGATGGGTAGCAAAAGATGCGAGACCTATTAGTCTGCGCCAACTTATGGTCTTCGGACGATCGTTGACAGAAGCACGGCTTATAAGCTCTGCGAATTATGTGCGAACAGAGCTTCCCACCAGGTAAATAGAAATCCTTTCTACTTCTTCTATAGCTTTGATTGACAAGGTTAGATTAGCACATCGCATACGAGACATGCAAACGCTCCCCTATGTCGTCGTCACCAATCCGCATATGAGTCAGGTCTACGAGTTATACTACAAAGCATTTGAGAGCTTCCGAAGAGTGCGCGAAATCAAGACCCTGGACGATAACGACAAGTTATGCAAAGTCATTAGCAGTACCCTACAAGAGCATCTTACCGTAATTCCAAAGCTAGCAATGGGCGTCTTGGAATGCCGGGATTTAATGAATCCTTCAGACATGGACAAATTTATGAACACAATTTTGCGATCGAGAATATCGCGACGAGTTATCGCAGAGCAACACCTAGCTTTAACAGAGACCTTCCATTCACATTGGCATTTTCCCGATGGGAAACCAGCAGAGTCGGAGTTTGTGGGCGAAGTCTTCTTAAGGTGTAATGCAAAGGAGGTAGTTGAACGAGTGGGCAGCGAGGTTCAAGCTTTAATGTCAGCTACCTATGGCCCCTCCACTATCATGCCTGAAATACGGCTTGCCGGTCATGTCGAAGCTACATTTCCATACATTCTAAGCCATCTAGAATACATAATCGGTGAACTACTACGAAATTCCGTGCAAGCAGTCGTCGAAAAACAGAGAAACGGCCGAAACAAAAACCAACCACCTCCTCCTATCGACATAACAGTCTGCGAGGCGCCCCAGCATGTGATAATCCGAGTATCAGATCAAGGAGGCGGTATACCTCGAGATATCCTTCCATACCTCTGGGCATTTAGTAAAGGACCTCGTAGCAACCAACGTCTCGAAAACCTCAACCAGGTACCAAAAATGGCCGCTACTATGCAAGAACTGCGCGTAACAGACGAAGCGCCGGGGTCGCAAGGAAACGCAGGAGCAGCAGCGACGGCAGCGACTGTAGGAAACGTAGGCCCCAGCTCCACAGCACACGAAACATCCCTCTCTTCACTCACCAGTCGACCTCCTAATCTCCGTCTGGGTATGGGTTTACCATTAAGTCGAGTCTACGCCGAATACTGGGCTGGGAGTTTAGAGCTACACAGTTTAGAAGGATACGGATGCGATGCATTTCTACAGATTTCGAAACTGGGGAACAAGAATGAACAGTTAACAATGAGGGCTAGTATGGACGCTATATAGTAGGAAATGGCTTTTTGAATATACCCGGAACGGTTTTCTTTGCATGCGATGATGAATATCATTAAAGCAGACTTACACTTTTTTCTCAACTTCATCTAGGCATTAAATTTCATGGGTTTGCGACGGCCACAATGTACAGGCGATCAGACGGTTTAGGTCAGAGGATGATACACAACACAAGAGACGAATCATGAAAAGTAGTAGAAAGTGTAGTGAACAAATTATCATGAAGAAGCATGAATTACATCGTGGCTAAAACTAGTGGAAATAGAAGCCTCTCATAAGAAGCCATTTAAAATTAAGAAGCCTTCTGAACGTTAACTGTCGAAGAATAAAGAAAAACCACATGTTGCAGAACGACCCGTTTTGCAACTCTCTCAGCATCACCTGCCATCATATCGTCCATACTCGGGTGCCCCCGATACATCCTCATAATCAAATTTTAGATTAGAACATCCTCCCCCATGCAAGCTTTACTTAACGACGTCCGTGACTGCGAGTTGCGGCACTGCCTTGCATTTGTTCAAGTTCTTGTTCTAGGGACTTGATAGCAGCATGTGTACTCTCCAAATCCTTGTTCAAACGATCACGCTCACTGATGAGCTTCTGCTCCCATTGTCTGAAACGGTGCTCCTCAATCTTAACCTGCTCGGTGAAACGCTTTCTTAAGCTCTCTTCCTCTTCCTTGAATTTGGGGTTATCAAGCTTCCTAGGTCTAGCTTCACCGAATTTGCGAGTCTCCATTTGCTGGGCGCGGTAAGCCTCGTAGTGTGCTTCTTCGGTAGTGTGGATGAGATCGAGCATGTGTGTTCGGATAAGAATGGATCTCAACTTCTTGAAATCGCAGTGGTCTTCGTTCTCAACTTCAGCAACACCCCATGCGTATTGACGACCCTTAACGATACGTCCATCACTAGTCTTGACATCCTTCTCTGAGCCAATGACTGCAAATGGCATAGCAGCCATCAAACTTCGTGCATGTTGAGCAGCAGCCTCGTCATCTTCCTCGATAGGTGGTGTGTAGATCTTGATACCTTGTGCTTCAATGACAGCTTGGATCTACAGAAAATACGTTAGCTTCGACAATGATGTTGATGTACTGAAATATACCATACCTTTTGCTTATAGCGGGCCAAATCAGCCGGGCTTAAGGTATCAGCCTTGGCGACTACTGGAATCAAGTTTACTCTTGAACTGAGTCTCTTCATAACCTCAATGTCGAGGGGCTTCAAAGTGTGGCCGGTAGGTCGGATAAAGTACAAGCAAGCGTGTACACGTAAATCGATCTTGTCAACACGGCGAGGCTGTTGCTCTTGCAACATATAGGATTCATGTTGATCGTCCAAAAACTCAATAATTGGCATCCAGGAGTCGCGATTGTTGACATAATCTCCAAAACCAGGTGTATCGATAACAGTCAAACGAACTAGGATAATGTCAATAATGGCCAATTAATCATCTCAAGTAGACTGGATATATTGAACTGCATACCCTTGAAGAACTTCTCTTCTAATTCAGCCTTTGTGATTTCAATCTCAACGGTTTTATCCACTTGCTTTGCGTGTCTGCGTTTGTGATCGGCATAGTTTTTGATTGTGGTAGAGAAAAGGGTATTAATGAAGGTTGTTTTTCCAAGTCCAGATTCGCCAGCAACCTGCAAGAGATGATTAGTATCAAGTTGCTGAAAGTTCTGAAAACAGAATAGAGAATCACGTACCATAATAGTGAAGGCAGCACCTCTCTTTGCGACAATCTTGTGTCTTTGATTTGGTAAATTCGCAATTCCGATGGGGGAAGCGCTTTCGGCGGTAGGTGGTGCCATGGTGATTATTTATTTACTGAATTTGAAGATTGCAAAGGTTCTTGAAGAAGAGGAAATAGATGGAAGATGTGTTGTGATGCCTTTGAAAATTAATTGTTGTCCGATATTGCTGTCGGTGGGTTTGTGGTTGAACGAACGGTCTGGTACTCAGGAGAATAATAATCGTATCGCTGGGGGTTGAAATTCGAAGTACAAGCTGCCCCTGGGAATTGACTGATTCCTTATTTCGGCTAGAGAACCCCCAATGGCCAAAAGCCACTAGAGATGCTAACAAGCGCTAACGATTATTGGTTAGCTTGCATGGAATTGCAGATCGGATTATCTTTTCGGATTAATTAATTGAAAAAAATCCAAATCCATGCAATGCGATAAGATTTTGAAGCTCAGAAATTCATCTCAAAATATTAATATGCCATTAAATCGGTAACAATGAAGACGGAGTTTAAGGTAAGTTCCATTTCTTGACTTGCAGATATATCTAGATAGAATTGTTGCTTACTAAATACTCAATTAGTTCTCCAATCTCTTAGGGACTGTTTACAGCCAAGGAAACCTTCTCTTCAGTCCAGATGGATCATGTCTATTTTCTCCAGTAGGAAATAGAGTCACAGTTTTTGATTTAGTAAAGTAAGTTATATCCTCTTCATTGAACACTGATATACTAACATGCTTTCAGTAATAAGTCGCATACACTTCCATTCGCACATCGAAAGAATATAGCAAGATTGGGACTTGCGCCGCGAGGAAACTTATTACTTTCAGTCGATGAAGATGGCCGCGCGATATTGACCAATGTACCGAGACGGATTGTCCTTCACCACTTTTCTTTCAAGTCAGCTGTATCTGCCATATCCTTTTCGCCATCTGGACGCCATTTTGCTGTGGGAGTTGGTCGAATGATCGAAGTATGGCACACACCCTCAACACCAGATACGAATTCAGAGGGGGAGTTAGAGTTTGCGCCATTTGTTAGACACAGAGTATATACCGGTCACTATGATACTGTTCAAAGCATCGAATGGTCGAGTGATTCTCGTTTTTTCCTTACCGCAGCAAAAGATTTGACAGCCCGGATATGGAGCTTGGATCCAGAAGAAACTTTCATACCTACTACTTTAGCGGGCCACAGAGAAGGTGTTATGGGTGCATGGTTTTCGAAAGATCAGGAGACTATTTACACTTGTAGTAAGGATGGAGCAGTTTTTCAAT